ATATTTTTTGAAAATCTTTCCCCTCATGTGGTCGGATTCACCTACGTTCTGAGAAATATAATCATTAATTTTGAACAATTTTCCAAGTAATTATCATGTGATGCATAAGATCTTTTTTTGGCAATAATAAGAAACTTTAAGATTTTCAATCTTAACTTTTTAATTGAATTCTTATGTAAGTCATTAAGACGCTGCTAATGAGATTAATTCTTAAATTTCAATTTCTTTGTAATTTAATGCTTGAATATGGCTTCAATTGTGAAGGTTGAATAGGTGGGAATGAAAATAATTTAATTTAATCTCGTGATGAATAAAATTATTAATTAGATTTTGTATTGCTGAAACCAAGTTAAGACACATTGATGTTCTCATTACTAAGTTCAAAGATTAAAAAGGTTTTGTTGAATTGTTTCATAATAGCTAGAAAATTTGTAAGGTGTGAGGAATGATTTGAAATGCGATGCTAAATCCCGAAACTTACCCAAAACTAATTTGACTAGGATTAGCTAGCTCGCTTAATACATTTCATTTTCTACTTTTTTTTTGATTTTTTTAAAATGAAATTCCATTAATTTTCTACTAAAACTGTGAATTTATAAATGAATAAACTTTTAATAAAAAAATAATCCAGGTCTCACAAACAATGCATCAAAAAGTTATTCTACAAAATTCCATGTAATTTTTTTTTGCATTAAAAAAAGCTTTTCATAGCAATTTTTTCTCACATGTGCTTCAAATTAACCTCAGAAAATTTTAATAATTTTTTCCCCCATCTCGTTTCACATCAAAATGCATAATTGTTTGGCTTTCTCATTTCTATTCTATTTTCATAAACTCAAAGCATTTTTTTTTTCGTTTTATTTCTAAAAATGCCTTTAAAAATAACATTGAAATTCCATCAAAATGATTTTTTTTTAAATATTATTGTTATACTTACCGAGAAATGGGTGGTGAAGGAAGAAGAGAGTTTGTTGCCTTAGAATCATTTTGTAAGGAATCTTTTTAATTTCTGGAATATCGAGAGCATTGTGTTAATCATTGTCATATCAATAAAACTAGATTCTAAGATTTAGCGATCGACTTTAGGTAAGAATCGAACTTAGGTTCTTTTAAGTAATAGTTATCCTGAATGTTGTCTTACCATTTGACCACAGATGCAATTCTTTCACACAAGCAGGTTTGCCTACATATGACTCGATAGTACAGAGACACCATCTTAATGAAGATGCAGCTAATGTGTCACAAATTATGTGAGTTGATTCCAACCAACTTTTGGCTATGTTCATGAGTTCAAAAGTCACTGTATGCAATGTTTAAAAAGACGTAGGTTCAACCCCCACTTGAATACCTCCCAACTTTTGCCCCCCCTAAAGGAGACCATCTTGCCAATAGCCCTCATCAACCCAAACCAAAACTTTCCTAAGGAACCAAAGCACAGCAAAAAAAATGATTCAAAAAAAAATTACCCACAAAAAAGATACACAAGGCCACATTAACCATAAAAAAATTCTCTTTATTTTATTTATATTTTTCAAAACGTTTAAATGTTTATGGAAGAGGAGGAGAGAAAGATGGCAAAAGAGGAAATGAAGCAGCATTGAGAAGGAAAAGCGCAAAGCGGAAAAACAATTCTACCACAAGGACTTTATTAAATTTGGTTTTCAGCCATTAACAAAAAAAAAAATTCTTTCGTCTCTGTTTTATTTAACAGTAAAAATATTGAAATTACAATGAAAATGAAAATAATGGATGGATGAATGAATGGAAGGGCATGCGAGCAATAATAATGATGCTGTGAGAATAAAGGATTTTGTTTTCAATGGACGAATTTTTTTAATAAAGTTCAATGGAATTACGGAAAACAATTGGGTGAATTTCAATATTGTTGGGGATTTTTGCAGCTTTGAGGAAGAGCTTTAATAGGTTTTACTGGATACTGTTGAATTTTCAATTTAGTAACAAAATTCAATTGACTTTAAATAGAATTAAGAGATTGATGGTCAACAAATTGCTATTTTTCATATCACTAATGATCAACATAAATTACATAGAAAGGAAGGGTGTCATAATAAGTGTCAATATAAAAAGTTATAAATAACAAACTTTGTTATGCTTCAAAATTAGGTCAATAACTTTTCAAATACTTATTCATTCTCCACAACTAATTAAGTCTAATGATTTATTTTTAAACTAAATTGAATCTTACCTTAAGTTCATTTCTTTTTTTGAATCTGAATATTTATAGTAAAACTAATGTGTCTATAACTACGCAAAAGATGAAAATCAATATTACTTTTGAGGGGACATTCAAAAATCATGGAGTCTTTTATTTTAAGAGATTCGTGCATTTATGACGACAATCTTTTAAAAAAAGAAGGTGTAAGAATGATTTTTTGACACTTTGTGAGTAAAAGGCAGAACTCAAAGTCGACTTGAGATTTTCATCGATTTTGTATGGCGAAGTCGACTCCTAGTCGACTTAACTTCATACCAAATTACATCGACTTTAAGCTCTGGTAAAAGGACTTAGGCAGGATCTGAAAAGTTCATGATACTAGTGACGTCTAAGTCAAACTAGTTGTGTATTCTAGTTAAAGTAGAAAACTGCAATTTTATTCACCTCCCAAACCTCCAAACACACCCTAATGGCTTTTCCTTGAGCTGCGTAGGTAGACATTCAATAAGATTATTTTACCTCATCATTCTGAAATCAATAACATAATGTGCACACTCATGTTCATTACGAATAATTTTTGCAAGACTTATTTTGATGAGTGAACATATTGAGGATTTTCTAAAAATATACAGCATAATGAACAAGTCTGTCTTCATGTTGTTCTTATTTTACACCTTATTTAACCTTTTATTTTTCAAAAGAAAAAAAAGTATTTCCACCTCATAAAATTCTCATGAATATCAAAAACATTGAAGAACAGAAGAGTTGATGAATTTTTATAGAAAAAGTTTTAAAGATTTTTTTTGCAGTGTGTAAGTAAGGTTAAAGGTGGGAAAAATTTGTATTTTCTGGAAATTATTTAAAGACTCTATTCACTTAAATTGATTTGAAACGGGAAATTAGGTATTTAATTTTAACACCGTACTACAATATCAAGATCTCTGTAGGCTCAAATCTAACTTTATAGACATCAGCACTTGGTTAACCACGACTTTAATAATATTTTGATCTAGACTGACCCAGTCATCCATTTTAGCACCTTTACTTTAAACTTAAGGAATCTAAACCCTTTAAATCGCTGGAGTAAGTTCAAAGACTCTTACATCTGGCTTACCCAAAGTTTTCAAAGCATAAATCTCCTTAAAATCTTTACAATCACACTCTAAAGTTCAATCAGGCATAAATTTCCAGTTAAAAAGATTTTCATTCTTCATTTGTGTCAGGCAATAAAATTAGCATAATTAAATTCCTTAGAAAATATTTTAAGGTATCCTACGAAAATATTCCAATATCAATATTCAAGTTTCTTACGGATTCATTCAACATAGAGTATGAAATAATTTTAAGTGGGTAGAATGGATAAACATGTTTACAATGAAAACATAGTAAGAATGAGGTTTTTGAACTTACTTCCGCTCCTCAATTTTTTTTATTTCATGCATTCCATTAGATTGATTGAATATATTCGATATTTTTATGTGTGGAAAATGCTTAGAAAAGGAAGAAGAACGAGCAAAATAAGGAGGAAGACACAATAAAATTCAATTTCGATTATGTGCTGCAATCTTTTTAAAAGGGGTGACAGTGAATGTTTACATATTTTTTTATGACTTATTAAATTGAACTTTATGGATTCTTTGCAAGTTTTATAGTGGTTCCATCAATCAATATTTTTTTCATGCATATTTTAAAGTCTCCGGGTTGCATAGCACTTGCTGTAAGCTAGACTGTGCATTTTTCTTCGATATTATTTGATCTGATGGAGATGCAAACCTGAAAGTATGGACAAGTCGATTAACAGATCAGAAATCCTGCACCAATCCGTTTTGACTCTGGCAATGAGCTGGATTCAAATTGAAGCCACAGATTTTAGAGTCACAGCTTTACACCGGATTTCTATTCGATTAACCGACTTGTGCTTTTCAAAGATAAGTTGTGTTAAGGAATGTTTTTGAGCTGACTGTTAAGCCCTCATCGCCCCTAGCCTCAAGGTTCTTTCCAATTCACATAAAAAGTAGTTAAGAAGTTAAATGAACAAAAACCAAACCAAAGCAAATCCAGTCCAAAATTCCCAGAATCATCAAAACTAAACTCCCCAATTCTTCAATAACATCAGCCATGAACTCACCAATGGTCATTGATTTAATGTCCCGTAAATCAGAAAACACTCATCTTATTCATCACTTTTGCATTCACAGCTATAATTTTTTCATTAAATGCATCTCATTCTGCAAGCATCCATTTAATGCAATTTTTTAAGCTCCGTCATTTATCTTCCATCATCTCCACTCGACATTAATTTTTTTGTTTTATGTTCCATCTTTTATTTTAATTTAATTTTGCTAATGGGATTTTTCAATCACATCATAATGATGATTATCGTTGGAAGATAAATGGCGTGAAAATTAATAAATTCTGAGTAGTTGAAAACCGCTGAAATGTTCAATGACTTGTGAGAGAAAGTTTGTTTACACCTGAAAGAGATTATTAATTTGGATGAATTAATTAATTGATGTGTTTATAGATTTTTGGAATATGTTGAAGAATGGTAAATAAATTTCAAAAATTGTAGATCATATATAGAGGACAAAGGTAGGAAAGAGATGGCCTTCCCTACTACAAATCAATGTTATTGTGTAAAACTCATTCAAAATTTCATTTATTTTATCAAAATTAGTTTTAATTAATTTAAAGATTAAGAAATAACATTGATAAGGTAAAAGTGTCATATTTTGATTCCACAGTCACAGTAAGTATGTAAAATTGTCAGTTGTCATAAAACCTTACAAATTATATAGTTTTATATGGTCTGATTTCAATTTTTCTTAAATATATCATTTGTTATACAAAGTCAATTTTTATCAATTCTTAGTCACTAGTTGGTTGTTGATTATATAGTCCCCAATAAATTGTTATAGTCATAATCCCATATCCATCGAATAACTAAAGTTCTTTTAACATTTTCGTCTTCTCAAATTCCTGGACGCATTTGAAAGAGCAACAGCAGTCACACCTGCAATAACACCAGCACCAGCTGCAACTTTCATTGTCTTTTTCTTTTCTTTTTCCTTTTCCTTTTCCGCCTTAAGTAAAATAAAAAGAAAAACTTTAATTAATTTTTCTATCACAAAATGAACTTTTTTTTATTCAAACAAATGAAAAAAGATCCAAAAAAATTTTTTAATAATGTTTCAAATGTTGAAGTTTTTCATTTAATTCTTGTTTAAATACCGAGTATGGAGTTGCATGATCTGGATAATGTCCTGGATATGGTGGTGGATGAACAGGCATTGGCATCGGTGGCTAAAATTGTAAACAATATATTAAATTGATGAATATTGGAAAATTTTGTAAGTCTATATACCGGTGCTGGTGGATAATGGTTTACTGGAAAGCCTGACGAGATATGAATTGGTGGATGAGCATGCACAGGAGGATAAGCAGGAGTTGGATGCATTGGATAAGTTGGAAAAGCTGAATCACTTGTCACATACTCAATTGAGCATTGTCCATCAACAGAAATAAATTCAGCCAAATCAACTGATAATCTGTAGCTGTATGTACAGAATGGATGATTATTAATGTTAATCCTAAAATGGTTTGGCTCAGCCGTTATTCCAATTTCAAATGATTCAGTTCCATGAATTGGATATCCACCATAACGCTCCTCACTGCCCCAAGCTTGATCCTTAAAATAATTTCGAACAATTGCTCGCTCATCTCCTCGAATTGCTAAATGAAAGACAACATCATCTCTGGGTCTCAATGCAGCTCCAGATTGAATGAAAATATTGCATCTGTAGTGAAATTTTGTGATAGGAAAAAATAAGTTATTATGAGTCATGGATTTTTTTTATCGATATTCAATTTTTGTAGATAAGATCATGTGAATTTACAGCTTAGTGTATTTGCAGAATGCAGGGTTGGATGTCTGATATTTTTTTGTAAAAAATTAAGTGAATATTGATTTTTGTAAGATCATGAAATCATTTATTTGAGCATCTAATTAAGCTTATTATTGCCACTTAAGTCAACAACTCTGGCATCTGATCAACATTTTTACCTATTATGATATCCATGTAATTTCGCACGAATCTTTAAAGTCGATCCAATTCTCATTTTTCCAGGAATTTGTCCAAGAAACGGAATTTGAGGATTATAAATTGGGATTGTTGCCATTTTTAACTTCTTCTATTAACTTCTTAAAATGAACTGCCTCTCTTTGAATGTAAAAATCAACTAAAGTTTATCAATTTGCGTTTATAAAAAAAAAAATTAAAATACTTTTGCTATGATAAAGAAGCTGATAATATTTATCATTAAAAGTATTAATGCACACAAGTACGATGTTGATAACAAATGCGAATGTGATTAAAAATAAAAACGTGAATGTCTCATACGTACTTTAAAAGTGCTGTGACTCATACTAATAAATCATCGAATAGATTTCACAATTTGGGATATTTTTGTAATGAAGATTAAATAATTATCTTGTAAATTTTTTGGGTCTTTGCTTCTTTTTCCTCTAAATGTAGTCATTCCTTACATAGTAAATATTGCATGAGGATTGCCTAGCAAATCATTATTTATTTGTGAAAATTGTTTTGCATAATTTTTCAGGTTTTTAAAAATGAAAAAGTTTCAAGTCAACAATATATGTAGCTTAGCCAGAAAATCGTACATAAATTTATTATAAACAATTTAATTGCGGAATTTCCGACTATTAAAAATGTTAAATAAATATAAACTTTCTTGGAATCTGAAATATTTTATCATCAAATGACCCGAGGCACAAGCTTACAGAAATATTTATTTGATATTCTGAAGTTATTGCTGTGTCAATTATTCTCAACAATTTCGAAAAAAAACCCTCTCGCATGACTAGTTTTTATCTAAAACTTCTATTAACCACCAAATTTTAACATACTCTCAATATCCCATTATTCCCAGACAGGGTTATTCAGCACAATTCAACCAGAAACTAGGTAAACTCCATAAAATCGGTGTCATAAGCGAAGGTCTCATGCAACATTCCAGTGTGCTTAAAAAATTTCCCCGTAAATTAATTTCATTTTCATGTCATTCAGTCCGTAAATGAGCAAGCTCATATTTTTAGTCAAAACTATTTTATGCTTTCATGTTTATCATACCAACTTGTTGTTGCTTTCATATTTCCAATAATAATAATCAGCTTGCCATAAAACGTGTATAAAGCAAAAAACTTTTTTACCCCCCGAAAAATTTTCACAGCTGACAATTTTGGATGCATTAATTCTTGTATTTATTGTGTCTGGATCAGTACAACAGCATGTAAGAGGGATCTATGTCTATGGTACAGTGTGGACTTCAGTTAAACATAAGTAAGTGTATAATTCCAAGTCTCAACACTCTCAACCTTAGTCACATCCCTTTTGCTAAAGTTCTTATCCCCCTCATTAAGCATCCAGTAGTCTAAAACTAAGCAGATGGCCGTGAATTATTTTCTAGTATGTAACTTGAGAGTGTGTGAAAATGCGCTTTATGCACCCATACCAAAAGATTTTCTCACTTGTCGCTGTTTTGCCGCATTCAAAACTATTTGCAGCTTTTTAATGGAATTTTTCAAAAAAGGGAAAAAGAATCGTGGAAAAAACTTTTTTATATGCTTTATGGCATGAAAATTTTTCATACATTCAGTTGAGTTTATAAAGTCGTTGCGTTTGCATCGTTTATCATAGATTTGTTCGTATTCTGTTGCTGTTAGATTTAGTGAAATTTTTTCCTCTCTTTCTCAACCCCAATCCATTTGTGTGATTGCATACAATGTTAATGTGGTTTATGATACATAACTCGCGTTAGTGCTAATATTTCATTTGATCGTATTTTTGAAATAGCAGCAAATGGTCTAAATTGCATTTTCATTTGAGATAAATGCTGGAATTTATTGAATGAACTTTGTGGATTTTTGCTCTTACTGTTGAATGAGTTTAGAAAATATTTTGAAGCCTTTATTTTTGTTGAATTCAAAATATTTGAAATTAAATCACACAAACCAAAATGAGCATTGATATACGTAGGAAAAGTGTGTTTTTTGGTAAAGGGTAAGCTATGAATAGATTTGCCACTTTTGATTATAATTTTGAACCGCATTTCCATATCACTTGATTCTGGAATTATTCATGATACGATTAGACATGAATTTTATTATTTTTCGACCAGATAAGAATTTTAAATGAGGTTTAAAAAACTTTTTTTAAAACATTTAAAACTAGCTTGAGCAACGACAAAAATTTGATTGTTTCATTTAAGTCCGAATGACACAACTTTATATAATCCAAACCAATTCATTTATTTCTACTAACTCTATACGGTAGAAACGTAACCTTACTTACTTACTTCTCTGGCCGTACAGATCAATTGTGATCCATGGGGTTCGAGTTTTTCATAAAAACTCTAGCAAAATGAAGAAATTTCTCAAGACGAAGGGGAATTTGCCCCCCAATTCCCTCTTTATTATTATTATTATTATTATTATTATTATTATTTTATTCAATTAGTTTGAGAAGCCAGAGCATCGTCATGGCTTCATTACATTATAAACAATGGTACATTTAGTTCCTCTTATCGAGGACACAATTGTGAGTAACAGCGTTTTATAAAAACTTTAAAGTGCTCACAAAGAAGTTCATTACATTTTAACGATATTTTCTAATATAAAAGTTTGAGGTGAATTTATGTTGTGTGTGTTCAGTAGAAAGTTTAATTGAGTTTAATAACAATTAGGAGTAGTGTTTTGTGCCCTTCCCCTGGCTACGCACCTGCTTCCCTTAGATGACACCTGAAGCTGGCACAATTTCAGGCTATCGCTTGCCAATTACCAATATCAAGTGTAATACTGTCTCTGTTTGTACTGTCAGCTTCTTTCCGAGAGTTCTTGGGACGTCAGAAACGTATCCAGCACTAAAAAATAATTAATCCATTGAGTTAGGAAGAGGAAGTAAGTTAACACAATCCAATCAAATCATCCCTAAAAATTAAGAATATGGTTAACACTGGATCCTGCTGCTTACTTTAAGTCTAAGCATATAAATATTAAAAGCCGGTACACTTTCGTGTCAAATAAGATGGTTTTTGACAGTTAGAAGGTTAACAATTCAAATGTGGTGTCAAAGTACTGCCTCTTCCTTCTCAGAAATTCTCTAGTTGCTAAATGGATCACTAAAAGCATAATAACCACTTAATTGTACCTCAATTCCCAAAGATCTCAAATACATCAATCCATAAACATCTCGAACTTATAAGTCATATTAAAAATGACAATATAAAAGTGAATCCCCTCAACAGCTCCTCCAAACTTATCAATAGAAAATGAATACTTATTTTATTCATGTTCATATAGCAACAAGCAATTTCAAGAAGTTGTTCGTAAATTGATTTTTCACTTATTTTGACACATGCAGACACAACAAGCAGAACATTTAACTTTACATCGTCGAGCTCAACAAGGGCGTGAAATACATTTTTTTCTTCTCGTTTTCATCTTGTCGTGCCCTACAGCAACATACACACGCACAAAACTTTTCGTTTTTCTGAAAAAATCGCACTTGAAAATTGTAACGAGAGCACGCTGAGTGACGGAATGATGTTCCTTAACATAAAAAGGAGCACAATGGTTTGAAGTTGTTTTTCAAGGGCGTCATGCAATAAAATAAAAAATAAAATTGGAGAATTGCTAATCGATTTTTCATTGCTGTTTTGTGTGCCAAGTGTTCATGTACTCGATAGCACTGTGCTTGATTGTTGATTTTCTTGAATTGCGTTTGACATTTCAATAAAATTGTTTTCCATTCTCTACCATCTCTCTCTGTCTTTCTCACTCTATCGCGCGCGCTTTTTTTTGTTGTTGCTCCCCATCAAACTCAATTGAATTGAAATGGATTGCTGAAGTGGTGAAAGTGAATTTGAGGGTGAAATTTCATTTTAGTCGCATGATAGCTGTATAGTCGAATAAAGGAAAAAATTGTTTTAGATTACTGAAGTAATTTGATAATGTAATGTGCATGAAAGTGGATCAATTTTATTTGAATGATATTGACAATATTGTCGATTTGAATTTGCAGTTTAGTTCTGGTATTGATGGTTGATTGTATTATTCAAATTTATGATAGGTTGTATTTTTTGTGTGATTGGATTGATCTTTAAATTTCTAGTTTTTGAGAAATACTAGAATAAATTATGGGAACATTTAACAGTCGAACTTGAATTATTGAATGAAAGTTTTCGTTTTTACCACCAAACCTACCCCCCCCCCCACCCCCGCGCTTTTTTAATGCACTTTTGTCCTTGACTAAGTATGGGGCCGTTCACTTATGACGTCCAAGAGGGGGGGTCATCTAGAAAAGAACAATAAAAATTCCTAGAAATTCATTATTATTTTTTCAAAAATGACCGCTAATTTCGGACGTCATAAGTGAACGACCCCTATATGAACTACTCCTTTTTAATGCCCTAAGTGTTTACCCTAAGGTCATATTTAAACCCTAGTGATATGAACCGGTTCAAGCCATAGGGTAGTAAAGATGTAGATCAATCCAACCTGTTTTGAGTGATTGTCCAAAGAAAACTATCAATTTTGGAAGATAACCAAAAATAATAATAAATTTAACATTTTTATCATTTTTCCATTTCCACAATTTCCAATAACAATAAAGAACGATGCTCATTTTAAATAACTCATTCATCATAATTACACAGCACCCATTATACTTAAAAACATCATTTATTTTAATGATAATATATTGCATATATGTAAATGTAAAATTAAACATCTTCATTAATCCACAAAAATTTACTGAAAGCTTTCCGTTCTTTGTTAAAAAATACGAATGAAGCATTAACAAAAAATTTGCATTTAAAATAAAATTTCCATTCAGTTTTTCATCTGACATTCCTATTCGAACCATTCATTCATTAATTGAGGTATCAAAAGGCATGAAAAATAAAAGTAAAGCAAATAAGGGATTGAAATTAAAAAAGGGACAGGAATGGAATGTGTTTACACAAACAAACTGCAAATTAAACAGAAATCTCCCGTATGTAAATTCTCATATGTTTTAAAAATAAATTGATGAATGGCGATATTGCCATGGAAATGGATGTGCGAGGGATGAAAAGTTATCAAAAGAATTTATTTTTGAATTTAAATTAATATTTAAATTTTTCTTTCATACTTTTTTTTTCATATTCTGCAGTCGGGGTCAGAAGCAAACGGTTGGCGATACAGTGAACTTAGCAGCACGCTTAAAAATCAAAAAGAAACAGTGGAAAGTTTCAGTTCAACCAGAAGAAAAAGAAGAGGATGATGAGGAAAATTTAAAGAAGGATGTATCGTAAGTAGAAGCTGTGATTTGTAATGAATAGTTAAGTGACTGGTGAAAAATAAGTTCTATAGCTATAGATTTGTGATTAAGAGCTTAGGAGTCGTTCACTTATGACGTCCAGGGAAAGGAGGTTAGCAAGAAAAGAACAAAAGAAATTTCAGGAAATCCATTGTTCTTTTTTTTTCATTTTAATTGCACTTAGTTGCATTTATTGACGACATACTGTCCGGTAATAATTCACATGTTACACTTTAGTATTTGTATACATATGAATTAATATTATGTAGGATCAAACTTCTAATCTTCAAATCTAGGTTTCAAATAAACTAAGGCTCTCGTTTCGATCTTCTGCAGGCGTGACGTGATACTTTTCAGGTCCGTTCTAACAATATTCCATTCGTGGGTAATCTTGTAGCTCTCGTTCCTATTTCTCCCGCTACACTTCAAGTTCCTGACCCGTTCCTTAATCCAACGTTGCCCAAATGCCCAATTATGGCTTGATCTCCTACATTAAGCAGTCGAAGTATCTAAACTTCCGAAAAAGAACAAATTTGGAAAATGGCTGAATTCGAACCGACGACCTTCGAGTTACCATCCCAAATTTGAGCCAAGCGCCTTACCTTTTGAAAAATGACCGTTAATTTCGGACGTCATAGTTGAACGCTCCTTTACCTTAATTGTTACAATCGGAGTCAACTTCTATGGCTATCCAGGGGCCCCCAGCTTTAGAATTATATACTCTAGGATGTAGAAATCTCAGTTGACCCTAGAACCGGTGCTATAGGATAGAATAAATGAATAAAACTTAAAATTTAAGGGTCATTTGACTACTACTAAGCATAATACCAAGCCAATGAAGTAATTTGCAACCCATTCAATTACTTAATCATATAAAAATGCTCCATATTGCAGTAATCCTCCCACAGAATGTGTCGAAAAAATGTAAACAATTTATTTCTATTTTTATTTCCATTCCAATGTGAAATCGCATCACATTTACAAAACAAATAAACAAACAAAACGCGACAATGACAACATCCACAAAAAAATATGTAAAAGATATCAAAAGCCATTTTTTGATAGCGAGAAAATATATCAATTGATTTCGGAAATTGTTGAAAAATCGCTCAAAAAAGGAAGTGAAGATGACGATTCGTATGTGAGTATATTTGTCTTATATTTATCTTTAGTGTTGTGTGTTAGGCACATGAAAAATGTCACATAAGAGTAAACATAAAAATGAACTTTATAAGAAAATATGAAGAAGGATTATTTTCGTAAACAAATTCGATTGTCTGACATTCAGTCAGCATATTTTTTGTTTCTTTTTGTTATCGTCTTATTGTTGTTTACTGAATGGATCATGTATCGTTTGGTATTTGGAAAGTCTTGACTCAGAGTTTGTTGAATTTTCTTTTTAAAGTTTAAATAAACAAGCCAAAAAGGGTTGATCAAGAAGTAGGGAAACATGATGATTGGAAATCAAGCAGTCTAATATTTTTATTCAATCAAAACCAACTGCTAGACTTGTCATCTCCTACACTTAAATAAATCTCATTTTCTGCCGTTAAACAACCTTAACGGTGCCAATATTGGTTCCTCACTCAAACTAGTTCATACTGATTCTCTAAATGTTACGAAACATTCAATCAACCCCTTTCAAAACCTCCAAAATCCAATTTATCAAATTTTATTTTCATTTTATTTCTAACTTATAAACATGCTTCCTTTCTTCATCTTCCTCCAACCATTCATCTTCATATATTCAATTTTCCTTCTTTATTTTTCATCCCTTAGGTGTACAGCGAAAGTGAAAATGCTAATTTATGTCAACGAATATCGAAAGACGTTCGTGATACATTGAAAACTTGGCGTCAACTCATGAGGTAAATGGGTCTCTTGGGGATGATGAAAAGAAACATTTTTGTTGTTGCACACACATATGTCTGTAGTTAAGGAAGGGAATGTCATTTTTATAGATAGAATTTTTCTTTTTCAACACATTTGAGTGCCGATCAATTGAAATATTTTTTTATTTTTCTGGCATATTAAGGAGACAGAGATGATATTTATGAAAAATTGAAGGAAACCCCTCAATAAATATATTTTTTTTTGTAGAGAGAAAGTTTATCCGTCCTGGGAATCGGAATCAGCACTGCTGGGAATTTTACAAAGTAAAACTTTCCATCCTTTTTCATTAGAATTGAATAAAATATTTTTTGTTTTTGTTTTCTAAACAATTTGAGGGAAGTTTGATAATTTATTGGGGTTTTAGTGCATTGAAGTGCTTGTAATAAAAAAACTAAGCTTCCGTTTTAAGACTGAGTTTTAAAAGAAAATTCATTTTAAAGCTGAGCTGCAAAGTATTGATTCAAAACTGAGCTTCAAAAAATTGACTAAAAGCTGAGCTGCAAAGAGTTGACTCAAAGCTGAGCTGAAAAGCGTTGACTCAAAGCTAAGCTGAAAAGCGTTGACTCAAAGCTGAACTACAAAGCGTTGACTCAAAGCAGAGCTGCAAAGAATTAACTCAAAGCTGAGCTGCAAAGTGTTGACTCAAAGCTGAACTGCAAAGCGTTGACTCAAAGCAGCGCTGCAAAGAATTGACTCAAAGCTGAGCTGCAAAATGTTGACTCAAAGCTGAACTACAAAGCGTTGACTCAAAGCAGAGCTGCAAAGAATTAACTCAAAGCTGAGCTGCAAAGCATTGACTCAAAGCTGAGCTGAAAAGCGTTGACTCAAATCTGTACTGAAAAGCGTTGACTCAAAGCTAAACTGCAAAGCGTTGACTCAAAGCAGAGCTGCAAAGAATTAACTCAAAGCTGAACTGCAAAACATTGACTCAAAGCTGAGTTGCAAAACATTGACTCAATGCTGAGTTGCAAAACATTGACTCAAATCTGAGCTGCAAAGCATTGACTCAAAGCTGAGCTGAAAAGCGTTGACTCAAATCTGTACTGAAAAGCGTTGACTCAAAGCTAAACTGCAAAGTGTTGACTCAAAACAGAGCTGCAAAGAATTAACTCAAAGCTGAACTGCAAAACATTGACTCAAAGCTGAGTTGCAAAACCTTGACTCAAAGCTGAACTGCAAAGCGTTGACTCAAAGCTGAGCTGCAAAATTTTGACTTAGAATAAGCATAAAAGCTCATTTAAAGACAAAATGATGAACTTCCTCAAATTATTTCAATTTTTCTGATTCAACCCCCGCAAAAAGAGAGAAAAGAAAACTTTTATGTAAAAAAAGTAAAAAATTATGGATAGATAGAGCCGACATTGACAGATGTATGTGTGTATTTATGTATCAGATAGAAGGAAATTTTTTCTAATTTTTCACTTTTTTCTTTCTTTTGTTTATTTTCACAAAATTTAATGTTTCCATTTACAACTTAACGTATGTAACATCTCACAACAAACAACAATGACGACTCACATATACAATATCAAAAAAAAAGGTTTCGAATTGTCGCCCTCACATCCGTTATTGAAAAGAAGCATCAGGGAATACAGTATAAAATGAAATATCTCGTGGACCCAAAAACGGATAACTATGTGAAATATTATTTGGATAATCCAAACTTTTTCATCGTCGTATGTGTAGTATTGATTTACCAGGATTGAAAAGTTTTTCACGTGCCTTTATTCAATGGCTCATATGTAGAGTTTTTATTTTATTTCCTTTTCTTCAGATATTTAATGGTGTTGATATATGTTGTTTTATGTAGGTAGGATTATGTATGTGCAGATTGGAGGGAAGGTCACTTGTTGGGATCTGATTTACTTTTGGAGGATTTTTTTGTGTCTCTTTATTTGAAATAATCGAAGCTAAAGTTCCTAGAAGCTTATTGTGCTGAGAAGGCATCATATGGTTAGATTAGCACCAACTTAGAGCTAATCCGACTCTATGATTAACCAGCATCAGTGTTATTTGCCTTACTGCTTCACTACACTTCTGATGGAGCTCATTGTGTTGGCTAGCCTGCCTGAATTTCATAATATTTAAAAAACTGCCCGACCTGGTCCATGCTCGGGTTCAAGTGATTTATATATGTCCGGGGCCGGTATTAAGAGCTACTCGCAGTAGCTTTTCACAATCAGCTTTAATTTACACTCCACAGAGTAGAACATCGATGTTATATTCTTAAGTAAGGAACCATAAGCACAACCAACTTTAGTTTACCTCAAAAGTGACCGTCCCTTATCATTCTGCACAGAATAGATGTAAAATTGAAAGAGAGAGACGTAAAAAATTGTTCTATGTATATAGATTGTTGAAAAAAGAAGGTTATGTGCAATAAATAAAATTTTATAGCGCTTATCAAAGGCTGAACATAAATAAAAGTTTGAATTATTCATTGCAGGATGTAAAAAAAAATATTGTTGAGAGGCGCAGAGTAAGAAGCAATAGAAAGAAAAAGGGTTCAATGGCTTTAACTTTTTCTATTATCCCATCATACATTTTTATCGTAATATCGACTTACATACATGTGCGTGCCTATACGTTTTGATGACGATTATTTCAAATTTGATGATGTTTATTGATACTCGTAAAAATTCTCATATTCAACCATGCTTTCTCATCCTTTTTTTTTAAAAAAAAACATACATGCTTATTTATTTATTTATTTATTGGTGAATCGCACTTTATCAGAGATTTTTTTATGAATATTTATGACAAAAATGGAGGACAAATTTCAGAAATTCCTAAACTCGATCTTTTTTCATTGAGTTGAGATCATAAAAAACTTTATGTCGTATCCGAAACTTCATAATATTCACAATTAAAACTTAGCATTGAAACGTGCTGACGATTTCCGACATGGAAGAATTTTTGAAACGTTTTTTATGTCAGATGCAAACTTTAAAGCACAAGAAGTTATTGAGATTGGAATACTTGTGGTTTTGGTGCAACTTGTCTTGTTGAATATTGAAGCAAATTACTTGAGAACAGATCATCGATCGCAGTGCCGTTTTTGCTCTAAGCAAAACCCTACATTACTTGAGAATCTGCAATTAAAGTAAATTATAATCCGTAAGAATCATAAGCTACAATTTACTTATTGAGTTATTAATTAGGTTCCGATTTCTCCTTGGCTAGTCCATAACCGTGTCGTCTCTATACCTTTATGACCCTTTCGTTGCTTTAATAAGCTAGAAACCTATTTTGGTGTTAATTGGTGAAAAATGGAACTTAAGAAGTTTTGGACATCATGATTCTTAACTGTGGATCGTAATCCTTCGAAAATCTTTAGCTAGATCCACAAAAACTACTAATTGCACGAAAAATTTGGTTTATTCCTAAAAACCTTTATCTCAACTAACTTCCAAAGCAAAATAAATCTTCCATCAAGGATTTCTTTCACTTATTCATTATGTAGCCATTCTGCATATATCTTACCTTCATCAGTTCTTTGCTTTTCTTCCTTGAATCAACTTACAATTTGATTCCACTTAGCTTTCCTTTTTCGCATGATGAAACACATAAAACGTTGCAATTAAATCTCACATCAAATGAAATAAACGTTTTTCGACGAGAAGGATTTAGAAGACATTTACGAAAGACAAGATCCAACTTATCTCACATCTTCATCATCATCTTGACCTACATAAATATCACGCCAACTAAAAACTTCAATCAATATTCATTTGCTGCATTTCCTTACTCTTTCAGTCATCGCCATCATGATTCAAATTGAAGATGAATTTTTTTTGCCAAGTTTTAAGACATGCATTGGCTCATTTATTACCATAAAAAACACTTGAACTTGTCATACAAAGTCATTTGTTGTAGTTTACAGTCTTAAAAGCAGGAAGAAAAATAAGTTACATGATATCAACATCGTGGGATGAAAATGAAGAGGAACTTTGATATTAAAATCATCATTTACAGAAATGAAAGAAAAGTACTTGAAAATGTCAAGTGCTTCATTAGTTTTGTATTGAGCATAAACTGGCAACAGATCTAAAGTATTTCAAATGCCAGCAGTTGAAGAAAGCAATAATAATGAGTGAGGGAAATTTGTTGTGAAGTTTGTGGATTGGAAATGGCGCATTTCTTGGGATAATTAAGGGTTTGGACATTGTTTTGTGTCATAAAGCAGCTGTAACTTAGCTGTAGTATTAGATTATTTTGTAAATTTTAAAGTTTGGAATACTTTTAATGACTTTTGAGTTGTTGAGGATATAAAGACTAATATAATCATCGAATTACTTTGACTCTTGATATTTCTAAGTCACAATCAATTGCATCTTGTGCTGGACACCCTACTTAATACAGCTGTGATCAGAAATCAACTTCAAAATGATAATTGTGTATCTATTGAAGTTAATTCTCATTTCTATACTTGAAATAAGAAAATAATATCAATTTATAAGTCCAAAACCATCAACAGAACCATCCACAAAACTCCAGCCCACAAAATATGCTACAAAAGTGGAATCAAAAGAAGCAAAAATCGTCAACTTTGAAATGAGTATGAAAAGAACAGAAAAACAGCACTCGAGAGGAATTTTTTTTCTTGTGAATAATGACTGCAATTTGCCATCAAAAAAGAGCGATCCATTCGGGTGTGATTTGTGGAGCGATTTTTATGACTTTCTTTTTTTTGTACAGCCATCATTGCTTGTATTTTGTTCCTTTTATAATATTTTATTTCATTTTCAGGTTTCTCTTTTTTGCTCAACGTCGTCATCAAGCGGAAATGAGGAAAATTTTATTTATGTTCTTCAAGGTAGAAAAAAAAAATTGTAAAAGATAGAAACACAAAACTTATTATAATCAGGTCATGGAAATCGAATGAATAAAAATTATTTTAATGATCTTCGTAAATAGTGCTTTTGGATATGCATTAGAATGGAAATAAATTGACTACAGAAGTGCTTTTAAGCTGTGGGGAATGATGTACATATTTTGGCTGTATTGACGATGGATTTGGACAGAATTAAATAAACAACAAGTGATTTTGATTCTTTAAAGTTTATTAAAACTTATTTTTGGTAAATGCAGTAAAAAATTATAAAAAATTTAAAAGTAATTAAGATTTTATGATTCCATTTAAGTAAGAAATTTAAAAATTATTAGCAAAATAATGAATATTTATGTTCAGGAGGAAGTCCAGAGTAAAATCGTTCAAACAATTTCAAGAAAGGAAGCAACATGGAAGATTAAAAAGATGTTAAATTAATAAATACGGCTTCTTTTTTTTGGTTTTTTATGAATAACTACTGAAACTCTTACAGGTAGTTTGAAGTAGCCTACTTCAAACAACCTTATCAGGGTTTCTTATCAGTGCCATTTTGGTTGCCTTTTTCCCCTTTTTTGTTTTTATTCGGAGTAGAATTTTTGATCTTCTCGTCTTTTTTATTTTTTTCTTCGATTTCCTTATTTTTTCCAGATTTACTGGTAACTTTAAGATTTAAATTACAATCTCGTCCTTCACGAGGATTTCCGGCATTCATTTTAAATCAAAATTGTTTTTCTTTTGGTTCTAAAAGTAGATAAAGAAAATAATTTGGCTACGGTTTTTAAATATTGCGAAATTTCATTGTTTATAATTAGCTTCACTCTTATGAAAAACGCTTAATCACTTACTGTTAAAAATAAACTTATAAAAATTGAAGAATATTTCAAATTCTGTGATTTTATTTTAGTCAGCTATAGTATTTGATTTCTTTTTTTTTCAATCTAAATTTAGCAAAACTTATGAAATTTGACAGATATATAACTTAAGTATGTGCTGTTATAGATAACATGAATTAAAACATTCAAAAATTAAAAGTTTGTTATTTTTTGGCTGCTCGAATTCTTAAAAAAGTAAATAATCAAATTTTTATATAACAATAAAAAGTGACTAGCTGATTCAAACTTGAAGGACAATCACAAAAAGAATGAAGAAGAAGAAAAATTCATTAAATGAAGCATATTGTAACACAAATATGACAAACTTTCAACTGAATCCGCTCATACAATTTCTTCTCCATTGAATACATAATAAACTCTTTCTTCTCTGGTCTTAGCTCAACATTCTTTCCAAATTATAGACACATGTAGAGGCGTTCGCACACATATGTTAAGTTCCAAGATATAAGAAGAAGAAGTAGAACGGAAGAAAATAAGGAAAGTTATTACTGTTTGTCTTTAAATGCTTGTGTCTCCATTCAACTGCAAAGCAAGCCCTCCCCAACTCCTTCATCACTCGTGCATGTACGGCAATCATATACGGCAATTGAAAATAAAATAAAAAATTTTCTGCTGGGAATTTTCTTGTTTCACATTGATATGTGTAATGTTTGTGCTTGTAGTTGTACCAGATCGTTCATATGTTTATCTATCGAGGAACATTTTGCACAGCCAAATATAACGACATAAAATTTTACACTTGAATAAATGTTTGGTTGAAAAATGATGGCACTGTTGGGACGTTTCTTATTTTCTAACAAATTTGATACACAAACATAGAGACACAGAATGAGAGAGAGAGATGGCACAATGACAGATAAGGTATGGATACTTTTTGGTTGAGTTATTGGAATTGGAATATGTTTTTGTGTGACTTTAAACATTTTACTGTGAATTGAAGCTAGGCTTTAAATATGTAGACTGTCTATTTGTCTGTAGTTGAATCAACTAGGCAAGAATGAATTCGTGTATAAGATGTGTAGAAACTGATGGATTTTATCATTGGGATTTCAAATTTGCATGAAGTTTAATAGTATGGAACTAATTAAACTTGTCAAAACCCTTTATTTAAGGAGGTCCGAACCCCAATTGTTCGTTAAGATACGCTTTAGCAGCTATGATCATCTGAATCATATCACAAAATTTGTCCTGAGCCATTGTCAGAAACTAGTTTTTTTAGAATCAGTTCAGTTTGTCTGCATCAGCTCTGCATTCACCATCCACATGGCCATTCAGT